TCTCATAGTGGGGCCGGCCATATGGTCGGCTCTGTGGATTGGCTGCTCTGAGCAGGAATATCATCCTCAAGGTTTGGTGGGCCAGGATGTGCTCTACTCTCTTCCTCCTCCTTCATTTTCTCCTGTGTGCTCTGATCAGACATGTCCTTCTCCCTGAGCTGCAACTTCAGTGCTGTCCTCTGGAATAAATTCTTCTGGGGGCGGGGCAGGTGTCCACGTAGTTGGGATTGGGGCCGGCCCTCGGCTATAATCTTTATGGACGTGGTGATCACAGGTATGTCCTTCTGTGGTGCCCGATGGCTATGCTCAAACACCACCCACAGAAGTTTGCTCACAGATGTGTACGTACACTTACCAAGAGGGTACAGTCTTATCTGGGCATGGGTTCAAGGCTTCCTAGGTCCTGGAGACCGGCCGCCCCAGTCTGGATTCTGAGGTTAGCAGATGGCTGAGAATTCACCTTCGACCTCCCAGCAGAGGACACAATGGCAGGCGCTGTGACCTTGTCCCACTTCATCTCACCACAAGTCCCTGGTTTACAGACCTAGAGATGGAGATGGCAGAGCCAAACTTGGATGGGCTTGTTTTATCTTTTTGATAAACATCACTCCTTCTGGGCAGGTAACAGCAGGCCGGGCAGCTTCCCCAGATGTGACTTCCTGTATGGGTGAGGGCGACCATGCCTTCCTGGCCCTCCCCTTGACTGTGGCTCCAGCTCCCGTCTGTCCCAGGCCCACACCCAACTTCCATCCTAACCTTGTCCTCCGCCTGGACTGGCCCGCACTCATTTTATCCCCTCCGCTCTTCCCCAGGGCTCAGCAGCGAGGCACTGGATCCACTTCGAGGGCTGACTCTTGTGGCTGCGTAGGCCTCACACCAGCCCACTGCGGGCCCAACCTCACTCTTGTGGGCAGCCAGCTGGCAGCGGCATTTTCCCCTAGGGCTCTCTGCCAAGGAGGCAATCTGTGGTGGCAGCAGCAGCAGCAGATAGCTGTGAGGAGCAGGCTTAGAAGAGGCATCAGTGGATGGGAGAGATATTTGGGACCAATGGGTGTCAAGTGAAGCTCGACGGGGAGTCACCCAGGGAGCGAGAGGCGAGCAAAGCTAGAGGCCCAGGCACCAGACCTCTGGGCCAGGGGTCTTTAAGAGAAGGGATAAAGAGAGGGCAGAGTCTGTTTCATTAGAGTATCTGTGCACTCTCTTGTCCAAAATGACGAGGGGGCAGCCCAACTACTGGCAACCCCAGGCCCGGCCTTGTACAGCTGCCTGAAGGCTGTCCTCAGACAAGCTGCGTTGCATCCCAAATCCAGGCTTGGCCCTGGCCCAATCAACACGTCTGAGCCCACCTTCCACACCCACATGTCCACCTTCAGTAGGGACTTGCGGGTCTCAAGTGGAATGCCTGTGGGTAGAAATGGCCATCTCCACCCCCAGGGGTGCACCCATCAGAGGGACCCTCCACAGCAGCCCCAGGACACCAGTCTCTGGTGCCGTCCCCGTACACACAGTAGAGAAGAAAACCACAAGGCTGGGCTGGTTTTGGAGTTTTTATTGGAGGGGCAGAAAAAATTCAGCATGCCACTGTCTCCGTCACTGGGGGTATGGGGTGACCGGCCTCTCCTGAAGGGACCTTGAGAGGCAAGAACAGGCTGGGCTGGGGGCCGCTCACACCACTCCCGCCCACCATGGCAATGTGTTACAAGTTTGGGTGGGCCAAACTGGCTCCTGCCTGCCCCGGACTGGCTTGCAAGTGGACTTAGGAGGGTCACCCTGTGGACCTGCTATCAGAGAACCAGGACCGGGGCCCACCATGGGGTGGGGTGCAAACGCCAGGGTTTGGTCCCTGAGGACAGCCATGTTTCTGGATTTGAAGCACTGAGAACAAATGGTGGATTGCCTGGAGAGCTTGGAACGGTATCGGGCATTTTTACTATAAATGTGTGGTGTGTGAGAGGGCCAAAATTCTCTTTTACCTTCAAATGAAGAGGTGGGTGGGGGTGTTAACCTGGTACACTGGCTGCCCCTTATGTTCCCAGGACTCAAACAGCACCACCTGCCTGGCATACTTACCGTGGGGCCCACGTTGAACAGGCTGTTACAAGTTGGTCGGCCCTCTGGGTGGACTCCCCCTTCCTCCCACTAGAACTTGAGCAGAGAGGCCATGTATCTTTGCATGGATTCCATGGGATCTAGTCCCTCCCAACTGGTCAAGAGGGCAGGTGCCAGGGGCTGACGCACACCGACCAAACCCACAGGCTTCTTTTTCCAGGATCATCCCAACACACCGGCTTTCGAAAAGACACCAACATTCATATCCTTACAAGTTTCAGCGGATGATAAATTCTAAGGTCAATTTTTATTTCTACAAAAAAAAGGCAGTCAAAACAATATAAAACACATCAAGAGGGTCTCACAGAGTGAGCTGTAGGCGGTAGATGGATTTCGGCAAAGGCTGTGGGTCCCAAGGGAGCCACCTTGTTCCTGGGCCGGCCAGCTCCTGGAGAGTCGGCAGGCGTGGCGCCAACTCCAGGCCAGTGCCATCTAAAGCGGAGTCCGCAAAAGACTGAGCTGAGTCGAGTGGGACAGAGAAGGGGCTGCGGTGGCTCCGTGCCCACTCAGAGCTTGGTGACAGGTGCACTTGGGGGTTCCAGGTGGACTTTGCGGCTTCGTCTTCAGGGCTGCAGGGAGCAGGGCCGCCCTGGGGCTTGACGCGCATTCTCTGGTGAGGCGTACGGGGTCTTCCTCGGGCCCACAGACCTGCTGCTGTGGGTTTCCCCCAGCAGGCTGGGGCCAGGCCAGAGGTGTCAGTCACCACCCAGGTACCGAGGGTCAGCTAACAGAACCAACATCCAGGTCTCACGGGCATTTTTTTTTTAACATAGAAGTTGGGCTTCCTTCTTTTCTCCCCAACAAGGTGTGTGGGGTGTGTGTGTTGTGTGTGTGTGTGTGTGTGTGTGTGTGTGTGTGTGTGTGTGTCTTTAAGGATGCTATATAATGGAGCTGGGAGGACTAGAACCGGCTCCCATGCCGGGCAGTGCACCACGGAGGAAAGGCCAGGCGAGTGCCAGCTGTACCTGAGGCGGCGGAGGCGGCAGCCTGGGCCTGGGCGGTGAACAGAAGCAGACACTAAACTTGAAGGCAAGAGTGTGGGGGTTGGGAGACGGGAGGGGGCAGGGGTGGGTTAGGGCCAATCACTATCTTTTTTTCCTCCCCCTCTAAAAAAAACAAAAATAAAATCTTAGGGGCTACTGGCTTTCAGTTGGAGCTTTTGGGTGAATTTGGACCAAAAAAAGAGACACCATTTGTTGTTGAGGTGGATGGAAGCAGTGACTTTTAAAACAAAGAGCAGAAGGAGAACATGGTAAATTTTAATCCTTTCTTTACAGGTTGTCTAGACCACTTTTGATTAAGAAAACTGTAGAAAGTTAGTGACTGCCACAAGCGGACGCCGGGCGGTGGCGCGTGCGTCAGTTCTCCACAGAGTCCTGCTTTGCGGGGGAGGGGGTCTGAATGCACTGCTGGGGTACCTCCGCTCACACTCGCTGGAATCCGTTGTGGCAGATTTTAGTCCACAGGTCGCTTTTCCCCGTATTTCTTTGTAAACTCTTCGGCGTTCTTACAGAATTTTTTACGGTCCTTAGAGTACTCTTCGGCTAGGTCGGCCCGGAGTGGGTGTTCCGGCTGGGGGTCGTTGACCAGTGCTATGAGGGACTGGATGACTGCCAAGAAAAGGATATGGTAGCAGTGTTTAGTGCTGCCCGGGAAAGGCCTGCAGGAAATGGGAACTCCGCCATCCCAGCTGCTGCCTCTCGTTCACCCTACGTTCTCACCGCTGCGCTCAACGCCATCTTTCCTCTGTGACGGCAATACCCCTCCTTCCTAACCTTACGCCTGGGCTCCCTTCACTGCACCCCCACCCCATATGGACAGGCCGAGCTTCTCAAGGGACCGTGCTTGGCTGGAGGCACTTCTAGACAAGCTACTGAGTGGGCACACACGAGGTGCGGGCAGCCCACGCTGTAAAAGCCCATCTTTGAAGACACCCCTAGGGGCTTCTGAGCCAACAAGTCCCAGCAGCAGGGGAACTGCCGTTTCCACAGGTTAACGGCACGCCGATGGGTCCAGGAGGGGTCCAAAATACTGACCTTAGACCTCAGGTCATCTAGAAGGGCAGCCCTAAGGTAAGAGACCATTCCCAAGGGGCTGGGGGCAATGTGGGGACCACAGTGGGCATGAACTCAGTCCCCTTGCGCCCTTCCTTGGACACACACATCCCACACCCACACCCCTACTCCCTTGACCAGGGTCATACTTCTTCCACTCTGGGATGGGAACAAAGCCAAAGCCCTTGTCAAAGGTACCATGAGTAAAGACAGTGCTGATTCCCCTGACCATGCCTAGGAATACAGAGGGAGCAGATGCCTGCCCAGGGCCTGGGGAGACCCATCTGTGGCAGCCTGCTTCTCCCAATTCACTGTGGGCATGCTCGGACTCTGGCTGCCACTCAGAAGGAATAGTCCTGTCTCTTTGAAGACTGATCCTTCTATTTTTAATTCCTGCCCAGCTGAGCAAGAGTCCTGGGTGGTGCAAACGGGTTAACATTTGGCTTGGCATGAAAAGGCTGACAGAGTTCAAATTCACCCAGAAGCACCTTTGAAGAAAGGTGTGGCGATCCATTTCTGAAGGATAAACCACTGACAACTCTGTGAGGCAGTTCTACTGACACACACAACAGCGCCTCGGTCAGGGTCAACATTGGTAAACCCAAAGGGGAGGAGTGGGTGGTCAATTGCCTCCTGTCCATGACACGAGAACTGGATGGGTACTTTTACTGAACGTTTTGGTCAAAGACCCCATAGCAGAATCCTGCTCAAAAGCAGGTAGAAATGCAGAACAGAGTCTCAAGTTCTCACCAACTCCAGACTTTCTGGCGCCGTGAAGACTGGCTAAAGCTCTGGAACCACTACCGAGGCACTCTTTACAGTTAGTCCCAAACTCTCCCGTGAAATCCCCTGAAAACCGAACAACAAAAATTAAGAATAGTTCGGTAACGTAAAGCACGTCTGCCTTGAATTGATACTCCTTTTAAAACTCCCATGTACAGGGGAGGGGGCTGCAACAGCAGTTGGAAGGGTTGGACAGGAGGAGCTACCAAAAGGAGGGTGAGAACACACCTCGCAGAGGAGGACGCACACACCTGAATGTCACCGTGGTCACTGAACTCTACATGGAGAAATGGTGAGATTCAGGTAAATAAGTCAAATTAGACAAATAAAATTTCCAAGTGCACACAAAAATGCCTAAGGCCTGCCTGAGTAAGCATATACACCCTGCAAGACCCTGGGCTGCACAGGTGGCCCACTGGGGCAACATACCCAAATCTGAAGGAACCTCTGGTAGCCTCTCCTAAACCCTACCTTGGATCCCCTGAGCTCCTGCTCACTTGAGGGCACGCACGCACGCACACCAGCATGCAAATAATCCCTGCCTCACTGGACCACGTGCTGGGCCCTCTGGCAGAGCCCCGCCGTCTGAGGGTGGGCAAGGGCAGCTCTCTTCTACTACGCTAGGCTCTCACCTCTGTGCTTCCTGTCTCAATGTAAAACCAGCAGGGAATTATTAGGCTGAAATTGCTTTCCTAAAGGACGGACCCCCTGGAAGCTGGCTCTGGATCAACCCCTCCCCCCCCCCCCCCCAATACCCCCGGAACCCTTTGGAGCCCTGGTGGCGTGCCGGCAGCAGTGGGCCCTGGTTAAGAGTGACAGTTGTGGTGACTCCATCGCAGGCTGTTAAGAGAGTGCAACTCCTCCGTGGCAGGAGGCAATGGCTAATGACTGGGAAGGCCTCTTCGTGTAGTGAGTGGCTGCAGGTGGAACTGTAGCTGTCCCAGCGGCCTAGTGGTTATGAGGTAAGTAACCCCAAGGTCAGCGGTCTGGAACTGCCAGCCCCTCTGGTGGGAGAAAGACACAGCTTTCTACTCCCATAAGGCGTTCCAGTCTTAGAAACCCACAAGGGCAGTTCGACCTTGGCCCACAGGGTTGCTATGGAGCAGAATCAACTCGAGGCAGGGAGGTTGGAGACATTTGTCCAAATTCCTGTAGGTGACCACGGAATTCATCCCCTGCTCCTGCAGGTGGCGTTTCTGTCTCCCAGTCTCCCCACACTCAACTGCTGAACTGGACACTCCTGGGGTGCCTGCCTCGTTGCTTCCCTTTCAGAAAAAGTCTGTGTCACCCCTTGAGGCCTAAATGTCTCTAGTTCAGGGCCTGCCATCCCCAGCCACCGGCCCTGGCCTAGGAGGGCTGACATGATACCTCTGAGCTATGGGGCTTCCAGCACAGAGCTGGGGTGGGATGTGCATAGGAAATACACACGCCAGACCACCATTTTCAAGCTTTTACTGACGGCAACTTTTCCCCTCCAAGCAACAATCCTTCCTCCTCTGCCTGTGCCGTTAGCCCACGTGCCTTTCCCACGGCAGTGAGCCCACGTGGGGCTGCTGTCCCCTCCCTGAACCTGTGCCATTCAGTCCCGAGAGTGAGGCTCGGCTTTTCTGTGAAAGGCTTCACCTTCCAGGGGCGCCACAGAAGTGTCTTATTTATATCACCTGTGTCTTCTGTGATTCACCATCTCAGGGTACCCCCGTGTGGGTCAGAGGGGAACTGTACTCCACAAGGTTCTCAGGGGATGATCGTTCAGAAACAGACTACCAGGCCTTGCCTCCAAGGTACCTCTAGGTGAACTCCACAACCCCCACCTTCTGAGGAGCAACTGATGCTATGAATAGTCTACACTACAGGGCACTCTAGTCTGAACCCACTGTGGTCTAAGCAAAGCTTATACCCACTGTGGTCTAAGCAGAGCTTATATTGGCTCATTCACTGCCACAGAATTGGTGCGGACTCATACCGACCCTACAGGACGGGATAGAACTGCCCTGTGGATCTAAAAGATGATAACTGTGGGAGTAGGAAGTTCTCCCTTTCTCCTAAGGAGCAGCTAGTGGTTTTGAACTGCTGACTTTGAGGTTAGCAGCCTAAATGTAACTTTGATGCCACCAAGCCATCCCCAAATCTGAGTCAGAGTTCTACCCAAAGCCCTGAAGTTAAGAAATAAAATCCAGACCTGCACATAACAACGTCCAGCCACTCCCAGGGGCTAACGGGCAGGGCAACCACAACATGGACTCCTGGGACATGGGTGCACCTGGCCATAGCCCACTCCTGGGTGCCAAACCCTGTGTCCTTATCTGGGCACACACCCTAGAGCCTGTTCCCTGATCTTGCCTTCCTACCACCCACACAACCACGTCCAGCTACCTGGTCTCTGCTATGTATCCCAGGGCTTTGCTAGTACCCTTCTTTTAGCTGGGAAAGTCTGTTCCAATGACCTCTTCTTCCTTTAAATCCAAGTGCTTGCCTGTGCCACAGGAGAGCTGCTCAAACATTGTCCATAACCCCCACCCCCTTCACTGCACCTGGAGGCAACTCCCCCCCGACCCCCCCACCCCATACACCCAGGCGCGCTTGCCTCTGCCCCTCCATGGGCTCGGAGCACGAGAAGGGCCTCCCCAGAGATGAGCCGTCCAGCATTCACATGAACTTCCAGGTTGGACTTGCGGAGACCAGACCCTGCTCCACAGGAAGGATGCCGAGCACCACCTCACCCCCACCCCACCCCACCCCCAATCCCTTCATCCCCAGGCAGCTTCCCCAAAAGCTGTCAACTGAGGAAGCAGTACAAAGCCTGCCCCACCTTGGTCAGTTTTGGTGGCTGGCTTCCAGTTTTCAGCGCTAATCACAGGCAGGCAGACCTGCCCCTTCTCGTCGATGTTCGGGTGGTAGATCTTTGTTTTAAAGGTGATCTTCGGGGGTTTGAAGGGGTACTCTGCGGGAAAGTTGATTTCAATTCTGAAGGCCCCCTTGTCATATGGAGGGTTGTCCTGGAAGGGAAGAGAAGAGAACGAAATCAGCACCACCGCTCACCTGCAGCACATAAACCAGCCGCCATCAGGGAGCATTCCCAGACCAGATGCGGGCTCACTGATGCGGAGATGAGGCGGAGGTCAGCGCCCAGGCCCCACCCAAACGGACCCCACAGCCCTAGGACGCCATAGTGGGTTGTGACTCCCCAGTAACCCGATGAGAGGCAGCAGGGCGGCTGCCGGGGTCCTCAGCTGCACAGAACAGACTGCCTTGTCTCACTTCTGCCGAGTGGCTGTGACCTGTTGTCAGCCCTTTCAGTTGGCAGCTGAGCACTTAACCATGGTGCCACCAACGCTCCTCAAAGGACCCACTCAAGCGCTCTCTGCCATAGTCAAGACTTACAGCAACCTTAAAGACAGGGTAGTGCTGCCTCTGTGGGTTTCTGAAGCTGCAGCTCTTTATGGGAGTAGAAATCCTTGTCTTTCTTCTCCGGGACCCATGGGGGCCATAAATAAAGGCTGGCCCAGCACTCGGGGCTCCCCGATGGTGGAGTGGTTACACACTGGGCTGCAGTCCGCACAGAGTTGGCATTCGAAATCACCAGTAGCTTCGCGTGTGCTGGGCTTTCTACTTCCATCACAGTTAGTCTCGGTAAGCCACAGGGGCCACTATGCGTCAGCATTGACTCGACAGCAGTGTTTGAGGCTTTTGGGGGGCCCAGCACACCACTGTGCTTGCCAACAAGTGTAAGAGGTGGCCTGATCTCATACCCCAGCCAGCTTTATCACCTCAGGGTGGAACTGGTGGCCAGGCAGGGCCTTGAGGCACCCCCACCAAAGATCTAGCCCTGGGAGCTAAGAGTTGTCCCAAGAACATGTCCTTCCTCATGCCCTGCACGCCAGGTAATGGAGGCCCTGCTGACTATGTCGTGCTTGGCCCTTTGGAGTCTGCCCAGGTCACACCCAACCCAAAGAAATCGAGATGCCGCCCCACCTCTGCTGGCAGGGTCTCGAGTAGAGAAAACAGAACGCAGGTGGGTGGGAATGCAAAATCGTGCATCTGCTTGGGGGATGGGAAACTGAGTGGTTCTTCAAAAAGCTAAAACTGAGACCACTTGACCCAGCAACTCTCTTCCTGGGTTTATAACAGGAGAACTGGAAAGTCTTGACAGCAGGGACGCCAACAGATCCGTGCACGATAAGGCTCACTGCAGCAATGGTCACAAATGCCTCCCCACCCCACCCCCACCCCCAAAACCAAACTCACTGCCGTCAAGCCCATGCCACTCACACTGGCCCTATAGGACAAGATAGGATTGCTCCTGCGCGTCCGAGGTTCTTTATGGAAGTAGAAAACCCTACCTTTCTCCTGAGGCGTGGCTGGTGATTTCGAACTGCTGACCTTGCAGTTCACAGCCCAATGCGTAACCACTACACACACCATCAGGGCCAGTAAGTGTGAAAACATACACGTCCATCAACGGATGAACAGATAAACTAAATGTGGGGCACACATTCAATGGAATAGAACTGGGAGAACACATTCAATGGAATAGGCCAGTGGGAGAACTGAGGGTTGATAGATGTTACAATATGGCCAGAGCGTGAAGACATGAGTCAGCTACTCAATCACAAAAGAACAAATATGAAATCCTGCGTAAAGTAGGTGTTATGGAGGAGCACTGAGTTCTGGGTCACACGGGCGGAAGAAATCACACTGACTAAGGTCAATTCATGTAATTGCTCGGTTTCTAACTGCATAATAGGTGAATTGACAAAAGTGTTATTTACCAAGCCTTATTCATGATCAAAAACCTGCCAGAATCTGGTTCCTTGGTTTGGAGGTCCAGGGTCATGGTTTCATGGGACATTCCGACTAACTGGACTAGTATGTGTTCCGTGCTTCCATTCTCTCTGTTTAGTTGGTGCCTGGGGCCTTAACAATTTGCAAGCTGCTATTCAAGGACTGGACTCGATTCCAAGGAGCAAGATGGGAAGTCAGGGATCGGAGGAAAAGGAACGTGTGGCTAATTGCCTCCTTTAACCATAATCTCCTTTGCTGTGAGACAAGAACAACTGGATGGTGCCCAGCTACTGTTACTGAACACTTTGATTACAGTGATTCTAAGAAAAACCCTAATCAAAAGAGGGAACGCAGAAATTAATACCCAATTCTCAGGGACTCCACTGAGGCTGAGTGAACACCTGAAACTACTGCCCCTAAACTAAGGTGACCAGACATCCCACTTTTGGCAAGACAATTCCGATTTTTAACAATTTTTCCCGCGCCTGGCGGCGTTTTAAAAAGTCCCAATTTTTGTAAAGAATGCACGACAAGCTAGGGTATACGGTTTTTGGCTGCCATGTGGCTATTTCGCCAGGATATGAGTTTTATCAATGATGTCCCGCTTTTGTCCCGCTTTACCAATGTTAAAATCTGGTCACCTTACCTTAAACCAAAAATATCCCCTTCTTAAAACTAAACAATAATGTAGCTTAATTAGTAAAGAACATCTGCCTTGGATATTGTGCTCTTTAAGAATTATCTCTAGGAGCCTTTTGCCTGGGAGAGAGCCTGGAAACAAGATGGGTCATCAGCGGCTCTACTGGAGCCACCCGAGAAAATTCAGCCAGGGCTCCCGTTCTTGCAGCGTGTGCTCAAACCAGCACGGTCTGATATGGAAATGTGGCCTCAATGTGTGCCGTCAGTGTTTCCGTCAGCACTCAAGGATCTTGGCTTCATCAAGCTGGACTAAGTGATCTTTGGATGGATTACCCAACAGAAGAAACAATACATAAAAATTTTAAATGTCAAGTCTGGAGAGAAAAAAAATAGAATGACCTCTTTGAGATGGAACTGACAACAGCAACTCAAAAGATTAGAGACAAGGGCTCAAGCAGAAAGCAAATGTTTTGAGAATGATGAGGGCAACAAATGTACAGATGTGCTTGACACAATGGATGGATGAATGGTTTGTGATAAGAGTTACACGAGCCCCAAATAAAATGATTAAATAATAATTTTAAAAAAGATTATAGACAGGAAACCTCAGGGGCAGGGAGAAGCACAACTTGGAGGGGAAGGGCGAGGTTGCATGTACAACACAAAGGATGTCCGTGTCACTCAACTACATGCGCACAACTTATGTATGCTCTGCTGGCGTATCCCACCACAAAAATAAGTTATGCAGCAGCGATGGAGAGGAGAGAGCAACCATGCGTGTCCATGGCAACACTATTCACACTGGCTAACGGTGGAACCATCAACAGATGGTGAGTAAACAGCCTACCCAACAATGGGCTGTTATCAGTCATGGAGAGAAAGGAAGAGGTGATACACGTTAGCGCAGGGATGGCCCTTGAAGACGTGACGTTGCGTGAAACAGGCTAATAGCAATATTGTTTCACTATACCCACAAGGAATGCCTACAATAGACAAATGCATCACCAAAGAAAGGACCAGTGGTTCAAACTGATGAGGCGCTCCACACTGCTCCAGTAGAGACAGACGCCTCAGAAACCCAGCGGGGCAGTTCTGTAAATTAGAATCCACTTGACTGACACACAACCACCCCGTGAGGGAAGTGTCAGGGTAGTAGAGAGACTTGGGGTCCAGAAGGAAGTAGAGAAGTTAGTGGGCAAACCTGCCCCACTTCCGTTCTCTCTCTCTCTCTCTCTCACTCACACACACACCTATGTACGGAAGATGTGGGAAGCCTGGAATCTTCAGGAAACAGAATTTTCTAGAAAACTGTCCAGAGAAGGACCTAAATGGCAGTTGCCTCCTCTCAGGCCTTGTTCAGTGTATTCCTACTCCAAGCCACCATCCATGTATTGATTGACCCACTAGGAGTTTCCAAGGAGTTATTGCTAGGACTTTTATTTTTAAAGGGAGAAGACTTCACCACCACCCTACTCCAAGGGAAATTAAAAAACCCCACCTCATTTGCACTGCTTGAGTCAAGCCAAAAATAGCACTATTTTTGGCTTTGGACTTGTGAGATCTGTTCCATTTCCCCCGTCATCCACACTGTGGCTAAGGCCCGCCAGGCCTGAGGTTCATCCTGAACATCTGGAGTAGGGGAGCAGTGGCTGCACCTGCAGCACCACGTGTTCCTGAAGGAGGTGGGCAGGAGCTTCCTACCTTCTCGCAGGCCCACACAGGCATGCCCCTGCTGCATCAAGGCCTGAAGGCACCCCCAGGGAGTTCTGAACACTCTGGGTGACTTTGCAAGGAGCCCTAGTGACATAGTGTGACATGTTGGGCTGCTAACCACAAGGCCAGCAGTTTGAAACCACCAAGCCGCTCCTCAGAATAGAGAAAAGGCTTTCTACTCGGAGGTCTTGGTTCTACCCGGTCCTGTCAGGTTTCTGAGTCAGAATC